TCGCTTGACCCAATCCCCCAACCACGACTCTCTCCCTCCACCACATCTCCTCCAGCGACACCACCAACAAACCCCCACACCCCTCGCCATACACGCCATCAACTTCTCCTCCCCCGCGCGGTAAACCGGACCTACCTCCACCCACATAATCTGACCGCCTACACGAAAGCCCATCCCACTACCCCCCCCCTTCCCCTCCTCCCCAAGCCCAGAGTCGAAGGTCACAACCCCCCTCATTTCCCACACCCCACCCGCTGACACACATGGCACCACAAACCACTAGGCCAGCTGCGGGCATCAGTAACCATATGCAAATCCACATGCTCACATGAACTAAGCATTAGGCTAGTATCGAGATAGGAAATGCTGTAAGAAAAAAGGTAACACCAGTTATAAAATGAAAAATTCTTATTGCATGCAACAGGGCTTAGGAACAACCACACAAGTTATAAAATGAAAAAGGAGAAAAGAGAGAATGATAAAGAGAACCCATTAGGAGTCATTCGAATCACCCATCTCGTTCCATAACCCACCAGATAACCACGTATGCTATAGCCTTGCTCAACTAACAATGTAGTTAACCCACAACGCTGCCAACAACGTCGAATCCCCCCCCATCTCCCCTCCCTGTCCCCTCCGCCCTTACCCCGACCATGCCCCGCTGTTACAGCCACCACCCGGGATGGCCACGGCTATGACCTTCCAACGCCGCTTCGCCTCGGTCGTAGCGGCCAACTCACAACCTGCAGGTAAGACTCCCTTGTTGACCACGAGACACTCCCATCCCTGCTGGAATCTCCACAAATCAAAGGAGAAAACCAAATGAAGAAGACATAGCACAATGGGAAGAAAAAGAGGTGACGGTATGGTGCTACCCGGAAGAAAAGAACGCCTCCACCAACACACTATATGGCAAACATGCTCTGGTGTTCACCTTCTCCAACACGGCACCCGCCTCCCAGCAGCCGAAAAATGCAAGTGGCTCACAAGGACAATCCAGGGTCATGAAAACATCAAGTCCAACACAGACAATTTCTCAATTTTAGTACTGAGTAAGAACATGATGATGGTGGTCTTCAAAGACCCTGATCAGGCTTCCAACCTGATCAACAAACACGTGACGCTAAACTGCTTGTTTGAAACTCGAAACGGCTCAGAAAGACCGAAGAGAGTCAGACAATTGCACTACCCCAACGCCAAACCCATACTGGACTCCCACCTTGAAAGCCTGGCGACGAATGATGCCGAGCAAGCATGGAGCACTAGAAAACAGAGAAGAGGCCTTGCTGCAACCCATATTCTGAAATCCTTGGATCAAAGACCTGGATGGTACACCGTGGTCATTCTGCACAAAAGACCGAAGATGGCTATCGTCGGTGGAAAAAATAGTGTGGCAGGTAAAACATCTATGGGCAGGAGAACGAGAACGATATTTGAATATGACCTAGGCTACCAGCCGGGCCGCCCGGGTCACCTTCTGCCCGGCCGTGCAAGGACTTTAGGTGGTCCCAGCCAAAAAAAAACAAAATCCAAAAATTCTAAAAATTTTCAAAAAATATATTTTATCATTTTATGTGGAAAACTTTTTCCTCAGGGTCACGTCGAAATTCTTTACCAAATTTAAAATAAAAAATAAAATTTAAAATTTTTAAAAATATATCTTTTTTTTTTTTTTTTTTTTTTGCCCGGCCGGGCAAGTGGTCCTGGACCACTCTGGTAGCCTAGACTATGACGTGAAATTCGGATCTGATCTAGGCCTACAGACCACAGGCCTGGACCCCAAACGAAAAGAAAGATGGAAAGAGACCCTGAACCTAGAGCTGACTGACTCCATCTCCATCCCTTGGACAAAGTACTTGCCCATCAGACCGGTCAGAATTTGAAGCATGCAGTGGCTTGTAGCCCGCGCAGCTCTGCCTGTCAACCAGTGGCTCCACAAGTGGAGAAAGCACATGGAACCTGACAGCTCGGAACTATGCGTACTGTGCAACGACAACAGGCTGGAGACATACCCCACTGCCTCCTTTACTGCACTGAAGCAGCCTGGATATAGAACAAGGTCGGAGACCTGTGGTTCCTCCTCTTCTCATCACCGCCCCCCGCCACTACTCAGAATACCCTACTCCTATCTAACACCCCCAGCAGTCTCAGAAGTGGCAAGGGACGAAATGTGGAAACAGAGATTCGAAGCAGATTGGGGGGGGGGTGTGGGGGAAGACAGCCACGAAAGGCAGACCAGAAAGGCCCGCACTCAGAAGACGCGTATTCCTGAGGGACTGGCTACTTCAGGGAAAGATTGCAACAATGACATACAACAAACTGACCTGGAAGAAATGGCACGAAGGCAATCCCGTTAAGGGCAAACTGAAACTGTAGTCTCAGCAAGATAGACAACTCTCCCAAATTTTCTTGTTCTTTGTGACATATTTGACAGATCCAAAAGGACTTCTGAGAGGAAAACTCGGGTAGGGCAAGCTGACAGTCAATCCTCCTAAATAGGATCAATCAATGCTGGTCAGGGTTTCTTCGGCCAAGAAGGAAGGAAGTGTAAGAGTGTTTACCATGTATTCAAAGTTTTGACTTGCCGCCGTTGCCGGTGGAAAGCACCTGTCTTTTTTTTTTCTTTTTTACATATAGTCGACCCCTACTCGCTATGACCTTGTGGCCCTGACCATTCAGGATGGGAGGGAGATAGTTAGTGTGAAATAGGTTTTGACGATGCCCTACCTTCTCTTGCCCAAAGAGTGTACACGATGTATGTTTGGCTACATGAACCGAAATGCAATTGCAGCTTGCAGATAATCTATGAGCTGCTCAGAGATTGAGTTTGATGTTTTCTATATAACTCCAACCAATCAGAAATGTCTTCTGCAGTGCATGCTTGTCTAGCATTCATGTAATTTGCATTACCATGCATGGTTACAGGGCAATACAGAGAATAAAATAGTGCATTCATTAGTTGTTGTAACAGTGCATCTTTGTGGCAGCTAGTACGATTTCTTGCAAATCATAACAGTCTCTGTGCATGTTCCTTTGTGGTCCACACTCGTTGGCATGATGCAGGATAACAGATAACCCCCGTCTTTGTGGGAATGGCACGATGTATGGTGTTTCAGTGTACAAGGCTGGGTTGAAGCCGTGTGTTCCCGAACATGTGTCCACTGTAATGATCGTGGTGATCGTGCTATCGGCCCTTGTTGTTATATTTTGCTCAGTGGCGATTGTACTCCTATATCGCCGCAAACAACAGTTAGCCAGAGGTGAGTTCTGGTGAAGCTCCATACAAAATAATTACTTGTTTTGAATTGTGGATGCAATTATAGAATATTTTTAGGGGTGTGCAACGGTGACCATGCCTGCTACTATTATAACATGATTCCATGCGTCCATGCTACTCCGTCCCAACTTTCGTCCTGATGATCCACGAAAGAGAATGCTAAAGGATCTTTGTGACCATGTGCACACACACAAAAAAAATGGGCAAAGGTTATTCACTCATGCACCTTTCTGCAGGTCAGTACCTGGTTACATCACACACACACACGCACACACACACACACACACGCACACACACACACACACACACACACACNCACACACACACACACACACACACACACACACACACACACTCACACACACACAGAGAGAGAGAGAGAGAGGATTCTTCTCCTTCTTCTTCTTCTTCTTCTTCTTCTTCTTCTTCTTCTTCTTCTTCTTCTTCTTCTTCTTCTTCTTCTTCTGCTTTCTTCCTCCTGCCCTCCATCACTCCTCCTCTTTCCCTCCCGGAGTTCTTCACTGTCTTGTGGATATGAGAGAGAGAGTTGAGAGTTGATATTGGATGAGATTGGACCACAAACCGACTTTGGACAGAGATATTGAGGAGACTATTCAAAGATATCTGAGTTGACGACATCTCCATTCCTCCTCCTCCTTTGTCTCTTTCCCCTCCTCTTCATCTGTGGATATGTGCTGGTCTGGCGCCCTTCATCCGCATATTGGGCGGCAGGACCCCTCTCACCTTGCCTGATGACTATGAGTGTGATGCAGTACGTCCGTGTCATTTGTTGCCTGTCCCCTTTCAAATTCGGTTTCTGCAATCGGTAACTGCTAGGAATGTTCAAATTGAGAAGCGATAGGTCTGCAAATCCGTAATTCTCCCAGCCAACAGTCAAAATTTCCCCCCTTTTCTTTGGCGCTAGTAGCATTCTTTGAATTTCTTTCCGAATTTTGCTTCATTTAAATTTTGAAGCAGTTCCTTATGTACTCTCACTGAGTCTATAACCGGAGTCTGACCGGAATAAATCCCGGATCACACTAAGGGTTGGACAGCAAAGTGGGAAAGGGGGGTTGTCCAGCCATTGAGTGATAGAGAGGATGGCGATGTGAGGGGGTCGTTTGGAATGAATAGCAGTGTCAGTGCTGTTAAACTTGCGTAATTAATGTTGTGGTTTTGTGGACCAACTCAGAGGGCTCTCCAAGATTTTCAGACCATTGGCAGATGTGGTCGGTGCTTTCGTGTTGGTGAAGCCTTTCTGTTGATTATGTTGCCTTTTGCCCTCCATCCTTTTATGTGCAAGGAAGATGAGCATAGCGAACTTCAGAAATCAAACAGCATCATACACATGAGACCAGACAGGCGTGACCTCGAACCAATAGCAGAATTGCATCACGAGTCTCACCAAAAAAGAGCACACCAAAAGCTCATAATTGACAATGATGGAATAGTCTCATCATCATCAATAAAGAACCAATGTTGATATCCTATCTGGCGCTCGGCGCCCAGACCATGGATGGCAGATCCTATCTAGCCTACTCTACGATGCCACTGATGACGTCAACAGCTCCCTGAAGTACGAGCAGATCTCGGACAATGCCGTACGCTTCAAGCACCAGGTATGTCTCTCGCATCACTCACAACCTCGTTCCGCAACTCACAGATGCCACATGCACCCAAGGACCACCATGCACGCCATCCAGCATACAGCAGCGCAGCTCGGCTATGGCTGCCTGCTCCTTCCAGCTCGCCCGTGAGCGCGTGAGCCTGGCCAGCATTAGCACAGCAGCGCTTGCGCAGCATGCAGCCAGTGCCCGAATGTCCAATGTGTATGCAGGCCCTTCTCTATATCGAAGTGGCCTGCTGCTGCGTGCGGTAATGCGGTACTGGGCCCTGGCCCAGAAGCTTTCGGTAGGCCCCACGAGGCTGAGCCTCAGTCCGAAGTAAACAGGCCCAGGGCCTGTGATGGTTACCAGCACCCAACTGCCCTCAGCCTTTGTTTGGTCCACTTTGTGTACCCGGCCCAGGGCCTGCCTCAGTTACATGCAATGAAAGGCAGCCTGGGCCTGGACGCTTCCAACCAACTGGCGCTGAGCAACTGCCTGAATTTCCCCAGTTGCGTGGTGACCCCAAAATGGCCTGTAGGCCTCGGTCGTGCCTGCCATCACTTAGGGCGGCCGACTGTGTGGAAAATAGGCCCTGTAGGGCATATCGAGGCCCTGTGCCTCGCATATGGACTATATGTCACTATAATATATATATCAGTTGTCGGGCAGTCGTTGATGCTTAACCACAGCCGGGGTTGAGGTTGGATTATCACTTACATTGTAATCAGTTAGGAGATTCTGCAGACTGTTGAGGGTTCAGCCTCCTGACGAGTCGGTGAAAATCGACGAAACAGTTTGTCACAGCCCCTCGTTTGTTGTCCTCTTCTCCCTCTCTGCCTACGTTTTACCGGGCAGCTCTATATGAGTGATAGTCTACTTTGATTTGGTTCAAGGTAGATTATCATTTACAGTGTAATCAGTGAGGGGATTCTGCAGACTGTTGAGGGTTCGGCCGCCTGATGAGTCGGTGAAACTCCGACGAAACAGTTTGTCACAGCCCCTCGTTTGTTGTCCTCTTCTCTCTCTCTGCCTACGGTTTACCGGGCAGTTCTGTTTGTGACGATATATATGTATAAGGGGAGTCAAAAGAAGAATGAGAAAAATGAATGGTTTCACTGTACCCTTCATTTTTTTTTATTTATTTATTTATTTTTTTCCACCGGCAAGTTAAAATATGATACATCACTGCAAAACAACTCACGCTTCCTCCCGTCCGGCCGGAGGACCCCTGAACAGCATTGATTGCTCCACTTTGGGTGGAGGA